CTCATACAACTCTTATCACAACCCATACATATATAAATTGTGTAAAGCACATTTGTACATTCATTGCCCTCATCATTCTCAAAACATTTGCACTCCACTTAAACCCCTGGCATCAGCTCCTCATCCCCCCTCCCTCATGAACCCTTGATAATTTATAAATTATTTTGTCATATTTTACACTATCTGACATCTCCCTTCATCTATGTTTATGTTGTCCGTCCCCCAGGGAGGAGGTTATATGTAGATCCTTGTAATCAGTTCCTGCTTTCTACCCCACCCTCCGGGTATCACCACTCTCAGCACTGGTTCTGAAAGGAATCATCTGTTCTGGATTCCCTGTGTTTCCAGTTCCTATCTGTACCAGTGCACATCCTCTAGTCTAGTCAGATTTGCAAGGTAGAATTGGGATCATGATAGTGGGATGGGGGGGGCGGGACACAGGGAGGAAGCATTTAGGAACCAGAGGAAAAAAACTTTCATTGTACGTTGTATGTTTCATCGTTGCTACACCGCACCCTGACTGGCTCATCTCTTTGTCAAGATGGATGGAAAGTAGTTCAGACAAGGTTTAAATAGCAATGATTTTGCTAGAGGTATGGGACCGGACCGTTGTACATAGGGTCAGTATGAGTTAGAATTTGATGGCGTCAACATCCATCAGTAAGTAGTAAGGATACTGCTGCATCTTCTGCAGATGCTGGCTGACCTCAGACATGCCTTTTAGTTAGCAGGTACACATGCAACCCTTGTGCCATCAGGGCTCCTTAACTGCCTAGACATCTCTTGAGTTGTTTGCAGGTTTGTGTGTGCACACGTCCAACCAACACACACACACACACACACACACACACACACACACACACACACACACGGTGCAGGATTTTGATGTGGTATCAATTGTATGACTTTTGCATACCTGCAATACAAAACCATGTTTGGTCAGATACATTCACGTAGTAAAAACTAAGATTCTTGATAGCCACTAAACTGAGGAGTGGGCTAGCCTTGGGGTGGGGCCCTGAGGGACAAGCACCTTGGGCCTTCAAACCTGTCAACCAGGTAGATATGAGGACCCAAGAAAAGAAAATAGGGGTAACTGCTCAGATGTGACAGACTAAGGGACACGTGTGTGTGTGTGTGTGTGTGTGTGAGGGGGGCTGGCAAATTAGTTTCTTTTTCCATCTTTTAAAAATGCTTATTAGACATTTGGTAGCCTTTTCGGTGACACACCTTTCTGTTGGGTTGTCTTTTTAAGAATTCATAGCATATTTTGGCTTTACGTTAAGGATGTTTTCCGTATCGTTCCCCATATGGGAGGCCCGGTGCTATGGTGGGTTAATCACAAGATGCTTTCTACTCCCATAGACCCAGTCTCGGAAATCCACAGGGCAATGCTACCCTGCCTTACAGGGTCGCCATGAGTGGCAATGGACTCTGTGGCAGTAAGGATTTTTCCTCCCAATGTGGCTTCCCTCTGGATCCTTAATGTACTGAAGTTCTTCATTTGAATCAACCTCCAATCTCCCCATCTTGTTCAAGTCAGTTTTGAAGGTTCACACGGTTCAGACTCCCCTCCTACAATTTCTATACAAGTTGCTTGGTGACACCGGTCCCGTTCTTTAGTGTGAACATTCTCACCTGTTCCAGCAGGCT